TGGGCCATTTTTATTCACTGTTTTTATTAATGACCTTCCATTTAACGTTGCCTCTAAGGTTGTCATATATGCAGATGACACAACCTTACTATCTTCACACAGGAACTTAATGTGTCTTGAGGAACAAATAAGTAGTGTCTTCAACACAGCTCAAAATTGGTTCTCTTCAAATAAGTTGCTATGTAACAGGGAGAAAACCCAAAGCTTGTTGCTTAGTTTGGCTCATGTTGAAGATGATCAAAATGTTAAATTGCTGGGATTTTTTATTGACAACAAATTGAATTGGAAGTCTCATGTTGAGTATGTGAACAGAAAAATTTCAAGAGTTTCTTATCTCATGTGGAAGCTTTAGGGATTTTGTGAGTTTTGAATATCTGGCTTACTATGCTTTTTGTCAGTCCCATCTTTCAATGGCATTGCTCTTTGGGGCCATTCAGGTTTTGTGTATGACATACTTAAAACACAGAAAAATATCATTAGAACAATTTTTAGAACAGGTGACACTGAACATTGCATACCACTTTTTATAAAACTCAAAGTAATGACTGTTATTAATCTTTACATTTACCACATTCTCATTTATACCAAACTACATATTACAGATTTCAATAATAGAAAAACATTCCATAGCCACAAAACAAGAGGAAAAACAAATTTGACCTTCCCCAGCACCGCTTAGCAAAAACAGGAAACTGCTTTAAAATTAACTACGTGAGATTTTTCAATAAACTGCCTGACACTGCCCGATTTGTGACTATGAAACAATTTAAAATTAAAATATCTGAGTGGCTTATTGCCAATCCTGTTTATAAAATAGAAGATTTTTTATCATGTCCTGTAACTATTGATTTTAAGATTTAATTCATGTTATTGTTATTATTGTTCACCACCTCTATGTACCGTTACTGTTAATTTAGCATTTGTAAGTACAAAGTACAAAGTTCAGTAATTATTGTTAGAATGTAATGTATTTATTTATTTAATTTATTGACCATGCCAATGTCTGTATATGTATGGACCAAAGGCAATAAAGATTCTTGATTCTTGATTTTGGAACTTTCTTTGTGTGTTATTAGCCACATAGTAACGCTTCAATATACAATAGTAGAAGAACCTCCCTAATCTGACCACCGATGGTCTAACTCCTTGCTTGGTCCGACCGTACCGATATAATACAAGAAACAAATTGTTACAAAACACGACCTCTACAGTACACTGGAGAGAACTAACAGCAAAATTGTCCTCAGCTGATCCATAAGGATGAGAAAATATCTAGGGAGTATGTTTAGCCTATCTAGTTATATATTGATGGTTTATATAGGATGGAACCTAGTATTCTTGCGTTACACGTTTTTTGGCCTATGTGTGTATGCGTTTGTGAGTAAATGTTCAGCTTGAAGACAGTGCCATAGACAAATAGAATAAATATAGACTGTCAAAGGAAAGTTCCGGCGCCCACCGCAAGGAGTGCCGTGTTGTTACGGCGCACACCGCCGCAGACGGGGAGTGCAGGAGCCGTATGCGACCAGCAGACGCTGCAGCAAAAATAATGTAAATTGATTGTTGATTTTAATAATAAATAATAGGCCAAGTAAATACCCTAATATTTTATAAATACCTAGCTGAATTTCTTCCTTCTTATAAATGCCAAAATAGTAAGAATAAAACTCGTTTACAAGAACCTAATAAAAAATAATCCCTCGGTAGAGGGCCCCTTCACAGCATGTAGCTGACGGCCCCAAGTGGTCTCAGTCCGGGCCTGATAACAAAGAAAAGACTGGGTATTTGTAGTAAACGTTAAATAAAACTTTGTTTTTCTTGTAAATAAAAAAAAACACTTTTACCCTCCCTGTTGCAGCAAACCTAAGTACTCGTTAAACTAATGCTATTTAAATAGGGAATAAATGTGATATTTTTAAGGGGACATTTTCAAATGAATCCAATCAGGCAAATGGAAATTCGCTTAGTCTGCAGGTTAGCTGTGGTGGGGATATTTTTATAACTTAGAGAGCCGTTCTTGAATTTAAAATGTTTTTGTGAAAAAACTAAATAGCGGCTATACGAGTAACTTTTTGAGTTTTTGAAATTTATGATATTTTGACTTGTCTATGTTCTATATGTTTTCTATTGAATGGGGAATAGTTTGTGTATCCTCAGAGTGGTAGCTTTATTTTTGTCCAATTTGAGTCTATTCGGTTCAGTAGTTTTTTAGTTTAGCTCATACAAATACACAGACAGACACCACCTCTTTTTTATAATAGTACTAGCTGGCCCGACAGACGTCGTCCTGTCCTAATGTGGTTTTATGTCAAATGCTCGTTCATTTTTAAGATGAGCTTGTTTGCATGGCTCAATCACGTCCTGGTTGAAGTTCGTTCACTACACTCACTCACCTTTAGGTTGGAGCTCGTTCGCTACTCACTTGCCTTCAGGTTAGCTCGTTCGCTACGCTAACTTGCCTCCAGGTTAAAGCTTGTTCCCTACGCTCACTCACCTTTTGGTTGCAAATTAGCTGTTGTCATAAATTTCAAAACAATAATAGTGCTGCACCCTGTTGGTAAACCTATTAACTTTTTAATGCTATTGGACATCACAGAATCAAATTGTTTAGTTGAACCAGCTGTTAAGATTCTTAAATTCCATTTAAATATGAGTAATCAAAAGGTTAACATGGGAAACTCCAGAACCACTGGGGCAGAGCCCTTTTGACGGATCTGCACCAAACTTCACACAAACCATCCTTGAATAATGCTTAATAATGCCTGAAAGTCTCATTACAATCTGTCTAGCGGTTTCGGAGTCCATAAAGGACAAACAAACAAACATACATTGGATTTTATATATATAGATAGATAACTAGAGTAGGGACCACATAAGTTTGCAGTTGAGGGAGGAGCCTATTTACCATATGGGTTTGAATGAACCAATGAGAACCGTGCGGTGTTGCCAAATCTAATAATACCAGCTGATTTGAAAATATTGCTCAGTATATTTTATTAGTGCGATGTGGCAACGTTGCACTAGCCTTGTCTTGTGATTGGCTGCCACCAACTGCAAACTTACGTGGTCCCGACTCTAAGCTTAATTCACTTCTTACAGCTTATCAAATTTTTTAATTATGTAAACAAACAAAAGTAAACAAAGTGTTTTTTTGTGTTTTCTTTAGAGTTTTATGACCTGAATCCAAAATCTAAAGTCAGTTTGGAAATATGTACACTCAGAGGCATGTTTAAATATACTGTACAGGGTTATTACAAATGATGTTCATGATATCAAGCATACATAAAATATAGTTTTATTTGTTATACAAAGAAATAAAATGGTTATATGTTATGAAAAACTCAACTAGTTTCGACACACATACACAGAAATGTGAATGTTCAATATGGGAACCCCTTGTGATACAACAGATATCCATAATGTAGTCAAGCCCTTACCATACTTTGAAAAGTGTGTCTTGATCTATTATTTCGATAGCATTGATAATCTGTTGCTTGATCTCAGGTATGCTATCTGGTAATGGTGGTGTGTACTAATGCATTAAATCTTTGATGAATGTGTCAATATTCAGACCACCGCGCCCGATCCATCTCTCAGGCAGCACATTGTTAAGTTGAGCCATACTACAAGTAACATTCAAATGCAACCATTTATCTTTAAATTCAAGTAACTTACCACTTGCCAATAGAGTGGTCATTAGGAGGATCCTCATTAAACCTGGTTCTGTCCATTGCACACTATTAATAATCGATTTGTTAATTTGATAATCCAGCAGACATAAACCTTTCCTGCCTTCAAATTCAGCCAATACACATTTACAACAATTGACTTGACAAACAGCTGATATGCACCCAAACCAATGTAAATGAAACTTGATGTGTTTTCCTTTCCAATGTTACCAACTAAATAGTCTTAAAATAAATTTACCCAGTAATATAATCAAAATCAGGAACATCAGCATTGGTAATAACCCTGTATAATATGTGTAAGTCTTAAAACAAAAAACCTGAAAGGGAACAAACTTTCCAAGCAGCGTATTAAATATATAAATTTTGTAACACTTATGTTATATACTTCTATAACATTAAGCTGAAAATATTTATAGTGTAATGGGCGTGAGGTCAATTTGAAATGCAAATATCAACACACACAAGTTTATTTTAATCCTTCTAAACTTTCAACTGTGTATGTTTATAAAATAACAGAAAAAAACTGGATAGGGTATGTATGAGTCTTAAGTTATGCATTGTTAGGCTACATTACTTTCATATACAGGGTGTCCAGCTTTGACTAGGACAAACTTTACCAGATTATTCGGGATGTCAAAACAAGCAAAAAATTCAATACAACATGTGTCCTATCTCAAACCTTTTCCGTCTGTCTGTCTGTCTGTATGTGCTTTTTACAAAAACATTCATAACTTGTTGAAATTCAGCAAATTAATAGGTTTATCGCTTTGCCCACTACCTTTGTGTAAAATATGAATACAAAATTTATAACCGTTTCAAAATGGCGCCTATTATTTTGTTTTCAAAGCTTAATATCTTAAAAACAATTTTAAAAAATAACCGCCATTTTGAAACGGCTATATATTTTTATTCATATTTTACTCAAAAGGTAGTGGGCAGAACGATAAACATATTTGCTGAATTTCAACCGTTAACAAGTTATGACTATGAATGTTTTTGTAAAAAGCACACACAGACAGACAGACACTAAACGGAGATAGGACACAAAATGTTGTATTGCATTTTTTGCTTGTTTTGAACTCCCAAATAATCTGGTAAAGTTTGTTCTAGTCTAAGCTGGACACCCTGTATATTTTGGTACAGCAAACTTACATACTCTGTAGCCAATATTATTCATATTTATTCTCTTTGTTTAGACATTTTCCATAAATTAGATTGCAGAACTGAAATCCCACATAGCCTACAGCTTTATATCCAGCTTTATTGTTTTAGTAAGATATTTCTTGTATTTTAATTTTTTTGTCATTGAAGGCATCAAAGTCGAGGCAAAAATCCCAGGAGGAATCTTCACAGATTTGCTCAGAAGTGGAATTTTACCTAAAGATTTGTTTTATCGATTTAATGATGAAGATTACCGATGGGTTTCTAAAGATGATTGGATGTACACCACCAATTTTGATGGTGAGTGTTGTTCAATTTCCATGGTACAGTTTAAGTTTTATCTTAGTTAACTATTGGTTTTGTGATGTTATAACCAGTGGCATAACAGAAGGGCCCTCAATGCGGGGGGGCCCGGGAGCTGAGGGGGCCCGCGAACCGGTGAGCGGGAAATGGCAAGCGGAAACCGGCGAGCAAAGAGGCCCAAAGAGACAAGTGGGGCAAAAAAATTGGGAGTTAATTCTTATTGAAATGTATTATCAATCATTTAATAATTGTATTGAACAAGTATTACCATTAATGGTACGGTATTAATAATATGTTGTTAACGTTTAATTTTGTTAGGCCTATTCAGTGATAAAGAACTAAGGTAACCAATTTAACGTTTTATTGTAACGTCGGTCATTGGTTACTATGCAATCTTACTTTCGTCACAGTTTACTTCTTTGTGCTTTCGTACACTGCTTTATGTCTGCAAACAATTTGAAACATTAATTTACTACATTGTTAGCAAAACGGGAGTGCCGATGGAGACCAGGTCAAGTCCCTTCAAACGCACGCATCCCCACAGGTCTCCATCGGCACTCCCGTTTTGCTAACACTATAGAGCCTGGAGTCATGAACGTGGACCGGTGCTATTAATATTGTATTATTTAAAACTTTAGTTTTGCCCTAATATTAATTGTATTTTGTTAAATATAGTATTGATACTCTACTGACTTTGTTTGTTAGCCTATCTTATTTTACCTCACAATAATTAATCAATACCAAGGACATATGTTTGTAAGGTCAACAATTGAAATCCGTTCAGAGATAAAATAAAAAAAATGCAATAGGCTATTTTAGCCCGTGATAAAAGTACATCAAGCTTTTAAATTGACCAACTTTTAGTGTATGAGTTAATTATAACCATACATAGTTAAAAACTAACCTAATAAATAATTGATAACATGTGTAATAAACCAAATATAAAACCTCCCTGATATAAATCATTCTAATACAGATAAAAAAATAAATTATTTTAATTTTATTTCAAAACTATTTACAAAAACCGATATTGATATAATGATGTATAGTCAACGTATAGTCCGTGTATAGTCAATGGTCCTACAGAAAATCTGTAAACATTGACTTTTTTAAGTATTAAAAATCATAAATACCCACACTTTTGGGTATTTACCCAGGCCTGGGGTGAATACCCATTTATAAGTACCCTACCCTCTACTAGGTATTTAGTTGGGCGGCCCTCATCACTATTGAAAAGTCTAGACAGATAAGATGATGGAACTTAAACAGTAGTACTATATAGAATTTAATTTTTGTCTATCACTCTCATGGAAAATTGTTTGATAGTGCAACCAGTTTTTATTTTATTCTTATTCTTATTATTATTTAAGGTGTTTGTATTATTTCTTTTGCTTTAGTTGATATGAATATTTTGAAGAAAGTAAGTGTGTATTTGGAGTTTGAGGGTCTAGACACAATAGCAAAGGTGATTCTCAATGGTAAAACACTCGGCCAAACAGAAAACATGTTTCTACTCTACAGATTCAATGTCAAACAGATTTTACAAGTAAGTACTGTTTTTATTATTGGGATGATTACTTCATATTTTAAGACATCGCCATCAAAAACACTGTACACTTTGGCCATTTTCTTACTATTTGATATTGGTTATGGTCACAGTGAAGAGGGTGTGTAGAGACAAAAAAATTATCACTTAAAATATTCTATAAACATGGACAATTGGAGCACCTTAAAACCATGATTTTTAAAATAATTCAATTTAATCTTAATTTCTTGAAAATTTGTTTCCATTTAAAAAAATCAGTGGTTTCTTTACTGGGGGAACCTGTGAATTTTTGCTCATCATTAAAATAAGATGACCCCTTCTTGTATAAATAGATCGGGACCGTGTCTCGTTGTACCAGCATCTAGTTGTACCTCATCAACCAAGAGACAACTAGACCAACGTCACGTTGATACAACTTAACATAGGTACAACTTGACAGTGGCGTACCCGACAAGTTGTACCTGTAGATTTTTAAGAGGTATAACTAGATGTAGATACAACTAGTAACTAGATGTAGGAACAACTTGACGGTGGCACACTCGTCAAGATGTATCTACCAGCTTGTTCGGATGTGACAAATTGTACCTACATCTAGTTGTACCAATGTCTAGTTGTAACTACGTCAAGCTGTACCTACGACTAGTCTTAGTTTAGTTGTATCTCCTCCTCAATTTGTCCTTTTGTTTAAATGGTTACTGAATGAGTAGTTTTATGATACCCTTAATTAAATCAGAAACTGCAATATTCTGTGTCAATTGACTAGCATTGAAAAATATGAAATACTAGCAGAGTACCCATCCTTCGTACGGGATCAGCATATAATTATAAAATGCTTATTGCAGTTATACTCAAGCTTTGCGTTTGCAATGGGGGAGGACACGATTTGATAACATTTGCTTCTTTAAATTTACGGTATACTATAGTATTACACATCTTCCATAGTTATAATGTACCGCTTCACTACAACAACTGGGTATGCTGGGTTTGGTTTTTGAACAATAGAGAAAAATAAATTGTTAAAGATTTGCAAAATATCACAAATGATTCATGAAATTAAAAACGTAAAAGTAACTGTAAACAATCCTACTTTGACAATTCTCATTGCATATCATAGTTTTTTTTTTAGTTCAAATTAGCTGTTTCCATAAATGCAAGCAAAGTATTAGTGCTGCACCTTGTTGGTAAATCTTATAACTTTTAAATAGTGTACCTGTTGCTCGAATTCGAGCAATTGCTAAGTATTACAGGCGTTATTTTAAAACGAATAACAGTCATAATTTCTGATGACTTAAAAAGATTTGTCTCAAAGATTATGGAAATACTCAAGATGTACCCTAACAGATCGATATAATCAACATTTCTTGTAAATATCTTATCATTTTTCAAAAGCTGATGTTTTTTAGTGTTTTCTACAAATATCCTTACTCATAGCCGCATTAGGCTGTCCATAATAACGATTATAAATGCTAAAAAAAAAACATTATTTCTATTTCTTCTCCTTGGTGGTGTTTTATAACTTTCCTATGTTTCCATAGTTTGCAAATCGGCTCTTTAAATGATTACTAAGAAATGCAGTACAGTGTTAATTCAGTTTTCTTTTTAGTATATCAAATTATCCAGGCTCTCTCGCTTTTTTCCATTGTAATATTTACGCCAACCCAAATCCAAATAGTAAATATTTCATTTCAACCAAGTCAGTAAATGTTTGTAGCAAACTGTTAAATTATCAAACTTATTGACTGTTTACAATTAACATGTGTTCTTCTCAACACTTTTAATTTCTGACAACAGTCAGAACTTTTAAGTTTCATAACATTTTTTGTTTCCCATGTTAATCTTATGGAGAAATACGAAAGTTTAAAGGGCCCCAGGGCCTCACTCTCTAATTATTTCCCTAGAAAGAAAGTTTCCTGCACAACTTCACGTTACGATCTTTCCAATGAGACTAAAAACATGTCAAGGGGTTCAGTAGTTTCGGAGGAGTAATTGTCACAAAAATCCTGCTTGCGTATTAAATAAGTACTTTACTAGTGTACCTACGTGTTGCTCGAATTCGAGCAATTGCAAAGTATTACAGAAATTATTTCAAATGAATAACAGTCATAATTGCAATGAGTTTAAAAGAGTAAACCCAAGAATTACCGGTGTGTAACTCATGGAAATACTCACGATGTATATAACATTTCGATATAGTCAACATTTCCTGTAAATATGTTATCATATTTCATATGCTGATATTGTTTTTTAGTGTTATTCTACAAACATTTCCTGACTTATAGCCGCATAAGGTTGTCCATGTTTATCTTCGTTATTGGTAAACCTGCATCATTTACAATTAATTTTGTATAATTAACATATGTTTTTCTCTTCACTTTTAATTTCTGACAACAGCTGGAGTTTTATAACAATGTTTGTTTCCCATGTTAATCTTATGAATAGATATGAAACTTTAAAGGGCCTCAGGGCCTCACTCTCTAATTATTTCCCTAAAAAAAAAGTTTCCTGCACAACTTCACGTTACGATCTTTCCAATGACACCAAAAACATGTCAATCGGTTCAGTAGTTTTGGAGGAGTAAATGTCACAAAAAACCTGCTTGCGTATTAAATTAAAGATAGATAGATGCTTTTGCATATCATAGAACCAACTTTTTAAGTTGAAACAGCTGACTAAATCATTTTATTCCCTTTAAATATGAATACTCATAAGGTTAACATGGGGAACCATAGAGCTAATGGGGCAGAGCCCGAAAGGATTTTTGAGATAAGAATATGCCTATATGTTAATCAGGTATGTTAGCTATAATCATGCAAAATTTCAGCCCAGTCCGTCCAGTAGTTAAAGCGTGATATAACTTCAAACAAACAAACAAACACACAATCTATCACATTTATAGTATTAGTAAGATTAAAAAAAAGTAGAATCGGTGAATACTAATTTACTAAACATTATCATGCAATTTCATACATTCGTTCCTACTAATACGTCTAATAACACTTGAAACTTGAAACATATATATTTACAATTATACTGTTAAAAAAAAAAAAAAAACGGTAAATATATTTAAAATATGGTAATGGGGATCAAATTTGATTGGACACAATCATCATCAGACCCAATAGGCGAATCATTCACCATTAAATCATCAAAAAATCGATCAACATTTACCATCTTGTTTATACAGGATGTCTTGCAACCATAAGAACAAACTTTGTCACGTTATTCAGCATGTAAAAAAAAAAAAAAAACAAAAAATGTAACACAACATGTGTCCTATCTCATTCCGTTTTCCGTCTATCTGACTGTATGTGATTTTTACAAAAAACATTCATAACTCCTTAACTGTTTGAGCTACATCGTTGAAATTCTGTAAATTTCTTTATCTTATTGACCACTATGTTTGTGCAAAAAAGGAATAAAAACGCTTGAATTAGCCGTTTAAAAATTGCGGCTTTAAAAATATTCTATGCCAAATTCCATGAAAACCGTTAATTTTACCATATAGGCCTATTCGCAGGTGATATAAAGTAGTCTAGTAAATGCAGATTTCAACGGTATCTCATAAGCTTAGTTTCGACAAAGAATAACTGAGAAATTGATTTTTTTCTTGCCATAATCTCTTTCTTGCTCATAATGTGCCATAATTCTTGCGTTTTTATACCTACATAGTTCAAGCAAATAAGTCCAAAATAGAGGAACAAACCTATGTATTCCCAATTCTTTCAGGAATATGTCAGGGAAGGTCCCCTAATGAATATACGATAGGTTAGAATAAAATCACCCTGTCGCTCTGGGTGGGGGGTGGTGGGAGGGGTAAATGCCCCAATTTGCGGTTTTTTGCTCATAACTTGAAAATGGTACGTCTTAGCTTACATTGTTTTATGATAAAAGTTAAAGCTTATTAAATTTGCAACAAAATGGTTCCGTACATTATCCCTGAAAAACGCATAGTTTCAGAGATATCCGTTGTAACTCATTGATGTTAATTTGTATAAATAGTAAATAGAAGAAGTTAAAACACTTGCTTGGCTATTGCGTGAGGGCCGGGACTGTGAATAAAACTAGAGTTACTAAAATAATTTACAATTTATTTAAAAGAGGAGAAGAAAAACTCAACCAAACAAAATACAATGATAATATATAGGTCGAATACAGTTAAACAAGGGGAAATGAACCAGCACAGTGAATAGTCAAATTAATAAGGTAAATTATACCTTATCCTAACAAATAAATTGGTAATTGGAGTTTAATAAAATTAAAAATGTAAAACAAAAATAATAAAATATTAATTATCGTTCAAATTCAACAAAGTGAATTGAATAGAATTTAATCAAAGTTTGAAAATCTAACTTTTAAAGCCTTAAATTATTTATCCCTGAGTAAGAGAGCAGGACTTACATTTTTAGTTTAAATAATTTTAAAATTGACATACTTTATGGGTTGATGCACTGGACACTTCACAAAATAAATTTTAATCTGCCTTTAAAGGCAACAGGCCATGGTTAAAATAACACTTCACTTCGCGAATCACTCGCGACCGAAAACTTCGACTCCCGAACGCGGTGACCCGACCGAAGACTTCCTGGAGACTGCCCTCTCTGGGTTTTTGGTGGAATAGACGTCCCCCTGTCCGCCTATAGAGACAGCCAATCAGAGGGTGTGATCGTTGGTTAATCTTCTCTGATTGGTTAAGACAGTCCACGTGGACTTGATGTGCAGATGTCAAAAAGTTCACAGCTTGCAGATTGTCTTCTGTCTCTCTCCAAGATTGATGCATCGGCAGCTGAACGTTACACCACCGTGGGACAGGAAATGTATAGACGGACGGGAAGTCATGGATAGGATTACTGAGATCCGTGGAAGTATATGATGTAGTTACACCGTGCTCAAAAAGATATAATGTTAGAAAAAATTTTTTCACCCCTCATTCTTTGTTAAAACCTTGTTTTTTCATATAATAGTTAAACACTAGTGTACATGTTGCTCGAATTCGAGCAATT